ATATAGCAAGCTATATGATGGCATTAATATTATGGGAAATATTTTCACATATATCCTATAGTACTATTAATTTAAATTATTATGATTTAAATTAAAAGTTTAAGACAGCCCGCATTAGCTACATGGAAATTTGAAGCGGGTTGAATAGTTGATATCTAATAAATTAACTGTCTATTAAGTGATTTTTTTAGTTAAAATGTTCTACCTGATAAATTTAACTTAAAAACTAGTTTATATGATGAAGCATTTAGTAAAATCAGTTTGTAATTTCAAGCAAAAAAAAAAACTCATAATTGAAACATATAAAATAAGCTCGACCTTTTTATAATTATCTTATCAAATCAATCATAGTAGATCCTGCCAATAGGAAAAGATTGAAAAGAGTATGTTCAGTAACGGTTTTGCTATGAAGCCAACAGTTGGCTCCATAGCAAAACCGTGTTCAGTAAATCTAACTGAAAGTCTAGCTGATAATTAATAAGTTAATTAGTAGTTCATAATTAAATTAATGTGGTCTCGAATTGATCCTTATGACTGATGACTTGAAAAATCTAGCTCATATAATAAAAATATTTTATAAAATTATCCTATTGAAACAAAATTCTCAATAGGCATCTGATATAAATTTGAAAATTTTATTTTGACAATTTCGTCTCATCATGTCAAACTTTTTTTTAATATGAGGAGTTTATAAACTCCATGTCTTAAATATCGTACGGTATCAACCGGTATTACCGGTAATACTGGATATCGGTGGTCCGGCCATTACGGTTACACTCTAAATACCGTTGTGGCCAAAATACCATTTAATTTGGAAAAATACATGTTTTATCGGCAAATGTCGGCCAAAATACTAATTTATGCCATTTTTTATTTAAAAAAAATATTTTTTAATATATTTTCATAAATTTATTTATATTAATTGAAAATTCTACACTTATTTTTAATATGTTTACATTGTTATTAGATGTTTTTAATTAAACTTAGTTTTCTACACTATTTATATTATAAATTTAAAATTATTTAAAATTAAATAAATTTAACTACAAAGTAGTTATATAGTATAAGTTAAAATATATTAAAATATAAGATTATTAAGTAGTATATGCCATAGTATCATAATAAATATAAATAACAATAATAAATTTTTTAAAAAAATATTCAAAATTTAAAACATACCTTTTTATTACTTTTTAAAATTTATATATAATTTTTTATCAACCACCCATGCAATACACGAGTATTTAAAACATACCTTTTTTATTACTTTTTTCCGATTTAACTAATTTTTTGTTTTTAACAAACATCCGTGTATTAAACGGGTGTTGTACTAGTTACAATAACAAATTAATTTAGTATTTATGGAAACCGGTAAAATAGACGGTAAAACCGGTTGTACCGGTTGAACCACGTACCGTTGGCTCGTCCGGTATGATCACCGGTACGATATTTAAAACACTGAAATAAACTAAGTAAATAAGATTTAAACTGAGTTAATTATGGGTATAAAATTGAACCATACCTCCTAATAAGAAGGCCCTTTAATAACCCTAAAACATAAAGATTACGACATTCTGTTTGACGATATTCGATGGCAATTGGCAACATTGGGTGCCCTCCAATCCTCATATTTTAAGCTACACGGAGAGCTTTGCCGCCTTTATGGTCTTACCCGGCTCGATTCCGGATTAGTCGGTTCCCCTGTGAATCTAGAAACTGGAAGGTCACTGTACCAAAAAAAAAAAAAAAAAAAAAATATCAATTTTTGGAGAGACAAAAATGGTAAATGACCTAACCAATAACATCAATTTTTTTTTTCTTTTTTTTTTCGAATTGGAGCACTAGCCAAACAAAACGGGAAAAAAAAAATTAAAAAAAAAGGTACACATTATAACAAATTCGGACCAAGTACAAGAGTACTAGGTGAATATTGACCTATTTTTTCAGTGATGGTCTCTGTTACAAATTGACGAGGCAGTTGGATTTTTTTTGTCTGTCTGTGCTAAGTCATATGTGCAATGATGGAAGTCACAAACGAATTGCTATCACCTCATTTCTTTCCCAAAAACATACCCATCACTATTGATATGGTCCGAGATAAATTACTCCGGTCTTCCGAAAGGGCCTCTCCGATTTGAACGTGGATCTACCAGTTCCGCTTGGTTCGAATCCGTAAGCTCGCCGGTACCAACAAAAGCGCTGAAATTGCTCCGGCGCAAGTCCTTCCGACGTCCTAGTCAATATTCGGAATAGATGAATAATAATGCAATAAATGTAACAATGTTAGTATTAAATGAGTCCTACCCGTTTTTTCTTAGATTACCCTTTATATAGTATTCGCTTGTAAGACGATAAGCTCATAGTCTTCCATTGACCGAACATACTTAAGCCAATGGGTAGATACCCCGTTGTGGTCGAGTATGTCGATCGTTAGGTCGATGGGTCGACGCCCTCACGTGGTTCAGTCGTCTACCCTTGGTCGATATTATAGCCCCCTCGACCCGGTTTTATGGGTCTTTACTCGACCGGACAGGGTCGGTACTATGATCCCTATCAATTATTACGTTTTGAAACGTACATGAACATTGTTAATTTGTTATTAATTGGCCTTCACTTATTTTATTTTGAGTTTTGACTTGAGAATTTCTACCTTTTAAATAAACTAGTATATATTAGTGGAACACTTGTGTAACACATCGGATGCTGATTAAAACGAATGAACTTAAAATTTTAAAAATAAACTTCTTTTATTTTTTTGGGACAACTAATATTATTATTTATAGTTAAAATCATACTAATTAGATGTATGATTTACTCATCTTATACTATAATAATTTGTCGAACTAGAATTGTATAGTGGACCCATCTTATATTATAAGTATTTGTCAAACTAGTACTATATAATGGACCTGGTAGTTGATAAATAAAATTACTTAATTGATGAATAATTTTATTATTTTATAGCTAATATTGATGGATATTTTAATTTTTATTACAAAATTAAATATAATATTTGTTTTGTTATGCAATATGAATGACAAATCAAAATTCTTCAAATTCATATATATTAAAAAAAGTGATAACAAATAAGATATTGGCTATGTTTGGTAGACAAATAAGCTAGTTTATAACTTATTTGGTTAGCTTATAAGCTCCCTGTATTCAAATAAGCCTCGTTTGGTAGGACGAGTTTTTTTAAAAAGCTCGAGCTTATTTGATAAGCTTCCTTAGGTAGCTTTTCAAATAAGCTAGTTGAATTTTCTATTCCTGCTAGCTTATCAGCTAATTTTACCAAACACTTTTATCATAGAAGCTAGCTTATCAGCTATATGTCATAAGCTATAAGCTATAGGGTATGTTTGATAAGCCAAATAAGCTAGCTATAGCTTATTTAGTTAGCTTATTACTTATAAACTCCCTGTTTAAAATAAGTCTCGTTTGGTAGGACGAGCTTTTTTAAAAAGCTCGAGCTTATTTCATAAGCTACTTTAGCTAGCTTTTCAAATAAGTCAATTGAATTTTTTTATTTCAACTAGCTTATCAGCTAATTTACCAAACATCTATTATCATATAAACTAGCTTTTCAGCTATAAGTCATAAGCTATAAGCTATAAACTCAAAAATTACATATAAATTATAAGCTAGCTTATCAGCTATCAGCTAGTTATCAGCTAGTTTTACCAAACATAGCCATTAATATTTAAAAATATATTTAAGTTAAATCAGAAATTTACACAATTAAATTAGTAGCACCTTAAATTAATACCTAGATTTCGAAAAGCCATGCAGTTAACGATAAAAAATGATATGTATATATTTTTTTATATTAAAATGCCATCGTTTTCAACGAGAGTGAGTTGTATAGTCAAGTAAGCTGTAAGAACATAAAATACGTGTTTGTATTTCAAAAGTACATATGTAATTTTGTATTTAAAAATGCATCACCAATGGCTCTGTTGAGGTGAAAAGAACACTACTTTAAGCAATGAGCACTTCAAGAAGAAAAAATCGACCCTGACCCTCATAATAACTTTACCACCAGATAATGTAAATTCGAGGTTGCCCCAATGGGCACTTTTTTCACAACTGTAAAGTCAAAAAGCCCACGAGCAGGGTCGAAAACTTACCCTTTCAATAAAGAGAGAACAACAACATGTATCAGATACTTCGAACAGAGATAAACTCAACATCCAAAAGTATATTGAAGTAAGCCATTAAAATGCAGCATCAAAGAACCCAGGCGAACAATCTTTACTCAAATGGAAAAAAGTAAAGGCGCAAAGAACAAAAGAACCAGATTATCTGCAACGCGCAATCTTTTCAATCCTTTTCTATAATCGTTCTTTTCGAACGTCATCACAATTTCATGACATCACAATATCCAACACTTCAAGAATTCAAACGAATTATAGATTACAATATTCAAAACAAAGGTTGAGAAACAAAATAACAAAAAAAAAGAAACCAAAATGCCGTTACAGGCACAAAATAGCAGGCAAACCATATTTCCTTGTTTTTGCTTCTTCATTCATAAACAGCAACTCAGACTCCCAATGACTGAAACAACACCTACTGACTAATGAATGAAATGCCCTAACCAAAATAGGATGAATATGAACCACCCAATGCAATTTTCCTTGATAAATTAAAAATAAAGACCAACAAAAAAAAAAAAAAAATGAATGAGGCTTGTATGCAATGTTTGTTTGAACCAATGCAAGACACTGAACCAACTCGAAAATATGGGCAAAAGGTTTATGCATAATGGAAAAAAGAAAAATGAGAAAGGAAAATGAGGTAGCAAACAGGTTAGCTGACTTCCAAGTACATTTTATGGATATATTTTTTTTTTTTTTTTTTTTTTGGAACAGGTATACTATATATACCCATTTCAGACCCTTAAGATAATTTCGATTATTGCATGGCAGCATGATTTTTCCCATTCAGTACCCCGAAAAATGACACTTATTCAATTTCAGTCCTCCGGAAAGATTCTATGATAACCCATGGCTGCCGCGCCGCCTAACATCCCTCTCCGACTCTTCCTGCCCCAACCCCGACACCCCCACCCGACACCATGATGCTTAAATGCATGAGTTAGTGACAACAAATGCAAAATAATGCATTTCTCGTCAAGAAAATGGTGATTGACCCAACATGACATGACTGACCCGACCCGACTTGACACGACCATATGCATGCATGCAGGTTAAAGAAGGAATATGCAATCACGAGCGCACCACCTCAAGCAGATATTGCACGTGTGATGGCCATCCTGGCCCACTCTGCAGATTCCTTAATCAAATTGTCATCTGAGGACAAGCACTCGTTCAAGAAATCTTTGCTCGATACAGACTGAGAAATCAGAGAACCTGCATTACTTCCCAGAGTATCTGCCAGATCTCCAAGAACGCCAATGGCAGTTTTCATCACAACATCATCCCTGAAATCAAAAACAATTCAATTGAGATAACACACCATTACAAGTATAAAAATCCGTCCAATCCAAAAATACACTCCCATTTCTCATTCACATACAGACTTCGAGAAACATTTATTGTTACATCATTACATGAAACACATTCACCTATTACACCCTTATGTACATGACTAGCGTGAACTAATTATTGAAGTGAGGGTGATCACTTCACTGAATAAAGATATAACAAGGAAGAAAAGGAAGTAATAATATCCTCCATCAAACAGAGAGGACTAGAAATGTGGGATAGAAAAACGACTTATGTGGCAATTAAAATAGAACTGGGGGTAGTTATGGAGTAATAAATATAATATAAATATATATTATATAGGTATATGCAATATTAAAATATACACACCCAACACACTTACATATCCTTCTCCATGTAAATGCTATCCAGGAACTGCAAGATATGAGGCGCGTATGGTATGAGGAGCTGGGTTTTGGGCGAGTTCTTGAAGCCCTGAAAGATCCCTGAATATGCCTCCAGAATCCCGTTCCTCAGAAGATTAGTATACTCGATCATCTCATCATCGGCCAACGAGGTGTGGACTGACAGCTCAGCAGCACTCTGGAGCATCGGCATCGCATACATCAAATACTTCTCGAAATTCTCACCAATCGCCAAAGCTATATCCCCAAAGCACGAGAAGATCGGGGGCTTCACAGACCGGTGCAACTGGTTGCTCGACAGGTCCTTCAGTAACTGAGTCATTATCCCATCACAGTAGGGCAAAATCTTATCATCCAAAGCCCGGCAGATATCCCCCACAACACCAACTGTGACCGCACAAACCTGGTACTCATCAAAATTCTGGAGGCCCATTTCCAGGTACTGGTAGAAATCAGGCATGTACTTAGCAAAATTCGGGCCAGCTGCATAAGCAAGGGCCCCAATTGAGAGCATGGCCTCCTCGTGGACAGTGGCACTTCTACAAGCGAACACGCGCAGGAAAAGATTCATTATTTGATCAGCATACTGCAAAAAGGCATACTTAGTGGCTTCGGAAGACCCTAATTTCTGGATGATGACCTGCAGGCAACCACAGAGGAGCCCTTGGAGTTCGCTTTGTTTCTCTCTCTCGTCGGATGAGAGTTTCTGTGACTCAAGGGTCTTGTGAAGCTCAGCCATGATGACCTGGACAAGTTCCAGCACCAGACGAGCCGTTTCTTCAGTCGAGCACCTGACAACCTCATTCAGAGTCTCATAGGCAGCTGTTCTCAGCCTCGATTCCCCTGCATCTTCCCTGTGGGTCACATGCAGGAGGGACTGGACAATTTCTTGGAAGTACGGGGTCAGCGGGGAAGTGGGGCCCACATCCTCGTAGCCCTGAGCCAGGAAATAGAGGGCCCCACAGGCTTTCTCGGCAACATTCGGAGCATCTTTCATGCTCTGGAGGAGGACAGTGATGATCTGCTTGCAGTTAATAGAAGTGATTATGGGTTCCTCAACAACTGTCGAGCCGTGAAGGAACTCGAATATTCTTCCCAGCGTCCAGGCTGTTGTATCCTTCACGTGGCTGCTTGGGTCTTTAGTAAGAGCAGTAAGCATAAAATTGAGGGCAACATTGACAATTGGAGTCAATTTGTCGGGGGAAGGGCCTTCTAATATTGAGCCAAATGCATAGGTGGCGGCTTCCCTCTGCCTCCAGTTTTCTTTTGTTATATTTCCCTCAATAAATGGTATGACGAGGGGCACAATGTCATCCCCCACTGTACGGGCAACCAAACCAAGGCAGGTCCCACCAGCCATTGCAAGATTCCACACACCCTCATCCTGATCCTGATCTTCTTCTTGCTTAAGAAGGGTTTCCAATAACAAGGGGACAAGTGCTGGAAGGGCCTGCTTGATAAAGTAATAGCACGGGATATCTGAATCCGCTGTGAAATCACCTCCGTATTCCTCAAGAATATCAATTTCCTCATCACAGATTGAGCTCCAGAACTCAATTGCCTGAAGCGCCACAGGCTCCTCATCCTCCCGGACGGCCTTGGACGTGATGTTGAATATGTCCTGAATATACCGAGCTAATTTCTCGTAGTACGTTGACCCAATTGAGACCAGGCACTCAAATGCAGCCTGTCGGATCTTCACCTCGGGAGAAAGAGTAGCCTCACAGACAACTCTCATTATGTAGTCCCGCTCCATATCATTTGAGAAGTTGGCCTGGGCAAAACCTAGAGCATTGTATAAAGCTCGTGTAGCCGCTAGGCGTACCTCACTACTTTCGTTGGCATTCATGCCCTGAACCACAGCCGTTAGTATCTTATTTACTTGGTCTTGCTCGACTGCTTCAGGACCCACTTCTTCGCAAATGTACCCAAGAGTTTCGAGAGTGGCTTGCTTCACGTGAGGCGCAACCTGGTGGACATTCGACAGGAGGGATGCTATGAGCTCAGGCCACTGCTTGTGTGGCAATTCAATGCCTGCGACCTTGGCAATGACCTGTGATGCAGTGGATCTGGCTTCAGCAACACCAGACGAGAGGGTCTGCAGTAAGCACGCCTTGATCTGGCTCTTGATGGCCACATCCAACGAAATCCACCTTTGCATAAGCTCGTGTTTTCGATGCTGCTCTTTCGCATCCAATGCATTTTTAAGAATCAGACCTCCTAATTTACGGCTGTCCACTGGCTTCTCCTCATTGGCAAGCTCAAGAGACAGGGACAACAGAAAACCAGGAAGGTTTTGCTCCTGAAACTGCTTTAAAGTATCCTCAGCATGTTTCCTTACTGTCGAATCAACTGCTTGTGCACTTAGAAGAACCTGAGTTACTTCCATATTCTAGTTCTCCCTGCAAGTACTACAATGGTGGATCAAGTACCAGAACAACTGAGCCCCTGAAAGAAGATTCAGGATAATTCAAGTGAAAATGAAAGAAAACAAAAATAAGGACAAAATGGCATGTTTGGTGCTTCAAAATAATATGATATGATCATACGAGTACATGAAAACAGAGTAGTTAGCCTCAACAGACTACCACGGGGTTACCCTTTCCATAGCCCAGAAACCAATTAGAAATGGGTCGAAATTGACAATTAAGATGCAGTCACTTAATGAAGTGGAAAAGGTGAAGAAAAAGAAATCACAAAGTTAACAAACATAACAGAAACAGGGAGATGGATGAAAAAACATTCTCATTAATAAAACACTTGCAGAAAATTGACTTCTCATGAGAGCTCAGTAAATGGAATAAAGATATATGTGCTAAGGATAACTCAGCCCCAACTTACTAATCCCATCAGACGATAATCAATCTAAGAAAAGAAACAATATGACATTCGGTCGGCGGAACAGATCAGGGAAAAGTAACATCTACAATCAATATCAATATACAAATTAAGCACGAATTAACTTCAAGTACCAAACCGATCTAGCGACATGGAACACAGAGGCCTACCAATACCATCGCATTTTTGCAAAAATGGAGTTGGAATCAGATCGATCGAGCACGAAAATCATCCGATTATCAACATTTTAGATGAAAATTTCAATTAAATTCAACAACCACGTATATACCGCTGAATTATTACTGGAAAAAAAAAAAAAACCGCGAAAATCTCAGATGAAGATAATTAACATTCAAATGCAAGAAATCGGACAAGTCACCTAAGGAGGTAAGGACGAGCTATGGCAGCGGAGCGAGGCTGGTGAGTTCGCCCTCGGATCGGACAAAAATCGGCGCGCCCCTAAAAACCCTAACCAGAGAGCTCTAGAGAGAGAATGACTAGTGAGAGGAATGAAAAAGGGAGAATGGATTGTGCAGGGTAATTATAATTATTGTTTTCTTTTTTCGGTGCTATTTCTATTACTATTTTATTATTGGCAATTATTGTATGCGGAACCGACTACGTAGTTTCGGTATGTCATAAAAAAATAAAAGGGTAGAATAATGTGGGACCAAGTTAGAGGTTCTTCCGTCTTATTTATTTTGTTTTGTAATATATTGGCTAGAAAATAGAATATTACTTATCAAGGTGTCTTATCGGTCTAAGCTATCAGTAATCTCGTTCGATTAAAATTGATGATAATGAATGTAGTGCCATTTTGCTACTATTTATCTCGTGCAATGTACGAGACAAAAATATTAAATACGTTATTTTTACAAGCTTTTTCCATTCAATTCTACAAAGCATGGTTATCATATTTTTAAACTTTTTTAACAAAAATTAAATCTAAAAAATAATAGGATTATAATATATAAGAAAATTCTATTGTAGGGCTTGAATTTTAGTTATTATGTCACAATAAGATCTGAATTTTCCACTTTTGCATTTTAGGGACTCAATTTTAAGTTATTTTCAATTAAAGACTTGCTTTTATATTATAGTTTTCAATTTAAGACACCAACTAACTTTATATTTTTACATAAATATATAAACTAAAATACTATTATTTTAAAATTTATATTTTAAATAATTATAAATATCTTTAGTAAAATTATTTTAATTTATTTTTTAACTTTTAAAATAAATTTCATTAAGCTTTTTGATAAATATAATTATGAAATAATTATCTTATTAAATAGTTTCATTAAGATATTTAATATATATATATATATATATATATATATGTTTGATTGTGTTTAAAATAGTAACTATTTCCACCCAAAAAATTGTATTTACTATTTCGTGAAATTAATTTAACAATTTATGGTATACTAGTACAACATCCGTGTATTACACGGGTGCTTGCTAATTTTTTTCTTAAAATTTAAAATTAATGAGAAAAAGTAATTTGAAAATTTAAATACCTTTTATAAGAATATATATATATCAAGGAAATAAATAGTTCGCTAAAGTTGCCGCTATTTGAGAAATAACTTTTTTTGACAGCGTGTCGCTATTTGTATTCATGTGCAATTTAGCCGCTATATCCCGCTAAATCTCCGCTATAGCTACAGTGCCATAAACATTTTAGCCCGCTATTTAAAACCTTGATATATATATATATATATATATATATATTATTTATTATGATACTTTTTATTTGTGCGACTTACTTGTGTTATATTATACTAATTTTTTAACTTACACTATATAACTATATTAAATATAAATATATCAATTGAGAAATAATTTTATTTTTCTAATGAATTTTAATAAATATTATTATTTTTTATTATTATAAAGATAAATATAATTTATTTATTTTATATATACAATATGGATGTCAAATCGAAAATCATCAAAAGATGATTAATTAGATATATTATATATATATAAAACCGAAAAGAAATACAAAAGTTATCTACTTTTAAAATACATTTATAATTCAATATCTTATTGAAGGAAGCAAATCAAAATTTAGGGATATATTAGTCACTTAGTGTCTCACTATGCAAAATTACAAATAATTAAAGGGTTATATTAGTAAAATTGATATTAAAATACCTAAGTTAGCTAAATAATATTTATGGAATACCCGAACCTAGATTATTAATTATTAATATATTAATATTATTTGTCCAAACCTAATTACGAAGCATGATTCTTCGCCAAATAGGATTCCGAAACACCAGAAGCAGCCACGTAGGCTCAACGCATTCTGGAATTATATATAGGGAGGATTTCAAATGATCACTTATGGAAATTGCGGCTCATTATTTAAGGAAGTAATTAATCCATATTTTAAGATACCTTGATTATTCAAAAGACACCTTGATTACTCAAATCATGTGAATTAATATCTATCTATACTTATATTATAAGCAAACCTATTTACTAATTTCAGTATGTTGAATAGTCAACATTAATTAATGATTTTCTAATCTTATCAAGTGCATTAATTACGTGTAGTTTGGTAAAAAAAAAATCTGATAAAATCAAGAAATAAAACGTGTATAGTAAGATTTAATCACAAATCTTTTCTTATCTTTTTTCCAATTTGGACGTGCATTTTTTTTTTATTTCAGATTTTTTTGTTTCTAAAATTTCATATTATTAAGGAAATAAATCACGCATTTGATCACAAATCTTTTCTTATCTTTTTTTCAATTTGGACGTGTATTTTTTTTATCTCAGATTTTTTTGTTTCCAAAATTCCATATTATTAAGGAAATAAATCACGCTCTCTCTTTCACAAATAAAAACAAATTTACAACTAATATAACTAACACATCTCATAGTATTATGCAAGGAATAATTTATAATTATATTTATTTATAAAAGATGATAAGAATAGTTCAACATACTTATCTCACTGGCAAATGAAAATATATTCCACATTTTAAAATGTTATACTCCTCAAATAAATAGTTTCCGTGCCTCCACAAGTCACGTACTATATATCTCGTATATTTTTTTATTCATTTATATAATTGTTGACCTAAAAATCTGCTTTAGCGTTGGATGACTGACACGTGGACGGCGAGAAAGCGAAGGGGGTACGCCCAAAAGTGCCGAGAAAACGTTGCCCGACCTGTCGTGGCCGACCTCATTTAGGAAGCCGACCTTGTCTGGAAGCCGACCTCCAACACGAGGCAACCTCGGGTGCAGGCCGACGTCGGAGCGGACAAGCAGCATTTAATGCGGGTACCATCGACTGTTCAGAGCCCATGTGGAGACATCATTACGCAAAGGGGCCCCACAGGCAGAAAAAGCTGCGCAGATGTCATTCCTCATTAAATGCCGCCGAATCTCCTCAAAAGATGAGCCCCCAGTTACTATAAATAGCGGCAATAAAGGCAATACGAGGATCTTTTGGGGCCGACACATAAATTCTGCATTAATCACCTCGGCTATTGCCAATTTTAGCATTATTGTACAAGAAAAACCGACTTCAAGTCCGCAAAATACCGACTTGATATTTTCCTAGATAATTTTCAGTTGTTCAATAAAATCGTCTGATCACGCTATTAATCTAATAGATATAAATATAAATAAGTTGATCAAATCCGTTTATCAACAATAATTACAACGCTAGATATATGACCTTAAAATTGTACACCCCGTGCATCGCACGAGATCTGTACTAGTATGGTATAAAGTGGACAATTTATTTTTTGTTAATCATGTGAATTAATATATGGTATAAAGAGGACAAATTTATTTTTCGTTATTGATGGTTTTTCTATGAGAAATAAATTAATCAATATATGATATAAAGTGAGCAAATTTAGTTAGGTTATTTGATGACTGTTTTTTTTTTTTTTTTT